CGTTGCTGGCAGACCCGCTTGCCCCAGCCCCTGCGCTTGCCGGCTCCTCAGCCGCAGCCCTTCGCGCCGGCTCTGGGCGCAGCAGAGCGGGCTGAGGCGCTCCGCCCTGGGCAGGCGCTTCGCCCGGGCCGGAGGCTGCTGTCCTCAACGCGCAGGGCTTCGGAGGAGCCCCCCGGCTTCACCTCTCCGGGCCCTAAAAACTGCCCTAAACCGGCAGCCGCAGAGGCAACTTTGCAAATTGGCAGGTTAGAGCCTTTCAGCTGCCTGGGGGCTTTGTCCTGTACAAGGTGGAATATTGTGTGCTCGTACGTATTAGCCTGAGCTCAATTGTTGTAAGGGGGGCGTGAGCAGCACCCAGCTCTAAATCTGCGGGGTGCAAGTGAGTCATTTCTTAATTCGTTTCCATGTGATTCATAACGTTTTCAACTCCAGGATGCATTTTCCCCAATTCATAATAGGCTTTGATAACCTGAGCTATTTCCAGGGGCATCTATTTGAATTCGTAGAGGCAGAAGTTTTACTGCATTATTGAAAATAGTAGCTACAACAGAATTCCCTGGAGGGAAAAACCTGCTCCTACCGTTTTTATTTACACTGCAGCAAAGAAGCACTGGGTGCATCTACACTTTTGCCTTCCCTCATTTCATAGTCATTGTGGCACTGAAAAGCATTATAAACAACTCTGCATTGTTTGTTGGTATTTTAGTATGGCCTGAGGGCTTGGTAATGGTTTCTTTCATTCATGGCTCTCAGAATGCTTCACAGACATCAGTTAAGACTGGGAGCCCTGCTGCAAGTCGGGGAGGTTTTACTGATCCCGTTTTACAGATGGGGGAGCAGATCAGAGACCTAGAAAGATTTAAATCCAATCCAGAACCTAAGCCATCATCTCACAGATCCTAAATTCTCTGTTCAGGGTGGTCTTTCCCACCTCCTCTAACGAAATTCTCTTAATTTCACTGGCTGCTCCAGGAGCTGTTTTGGGCACTGACAGGCCAGTATGCTTTGGAATTTTGAGATGCTGCTTTTGCAGAGTCCCCAAAATTACATGCATTGAGTGCCATACTGTTGAGAAGAATGGTTTCTGATAAAGGCAAGTCTCTGATTGTTCTTTGGTTTGTACTGGGGTAGAACCTAAGGGCTCCATTGTAGATGAGGGTGTATTAGGCAAGGCATTGTACAGGCAGACAGTAAAGCATGCACAGAACTGATAAGCCAAATAGAGAAAGCCTAGATATCTGGCATGACTTCTTTGACAGCCTCCCTCACTGAGGCTCTCTTTGAAGGGTGTATTTCCAAAAGCAAAATAAGTGGTTCCTATTGTGACTCTAACCCAGAAAACTCCTGATCCCTAGCCTGTTTTTGAGTTTGTCCACTTGCTTTCATGGCCCAGACAAGAGGTGGGCTGTGTTTCCATCCTTAGGCATTGCTTATGTTGATATCCTTTACAAAGTTTTAAGCTTTTTAAGCTTCGTCGGTGTAAGAAAAGCCTACTGCAGACTAGGTGATGATGCATAGCTCCCAGCAGTCACAGAGGGAAGGGAAGGGAAAGGAGCAGACTGAATGCTTTTATGGCTTTTCTGGGTTTAATATCCATTGGGTGCTTGCTGAGTCTGATCAGGTCTTACAAGGTGTTCTGGAAATCCTGATTTCTTGATATTTAAGCTTATAGGAGATCAAGTTCCACTTTGAATACACTCCTGCCTCCCAAACACCTTAGTGCTGCAGCTTCGAGAAGCATTGTTCATTGCTGACAGGCAAGATACGGTATCACAATGGTATCACAATTTGCTGCCTTTCCAGTGTTTCAGAGGACTATTCTTTCGGAGAAGAGAGAGCAAGCATAGCTCCAGGGCCTCCATGGCTGGGCATCAGCCAATTACTGTCATATCAGATTAGCTCTATGGCACATTAGCACTTGTTTATGTTAATACAAATGCAACATGACTGCTCCATAGTATTGATGGAATTATTGTATTTACAACCTACATGACTAATTGAAAGGGAGATTCTGATTACAAAACCATGGACTTCCAAGGTGATTCCTTCTGTGCTTTCTGTATGGGCCAGTTTTGAACCATGAAGAGGAAATGAACTACTAGAAGACATAATCCTGGTTTTATTAACCACTGATGCAGTTACCCTTTTGGCAAACTCTAGGGAAACAAATCCTGTATCACAAAAGAAACAGGAAGAACTCTATGGGTTTCTTCCACCCTGCCATGATCCTGCCTTAGTAGCCTGTGCTACTGTAGCTACTTCTTGGCCTCTGAGAAGAGCTTTTACTTGTCTGTGCTCTGTAGGAATCTAGCCCTTGAAACCAGCATTAAGATTTCCTCAGCTGCCGCTGCAGCACATGAGCATGTTCTCCTTGTCCAGAGCAGCTTGACAGCAGCAGTCGTGGGTGTTTGTGAGATGAGGAGGCATCACATGCAGCCAGGATTGTAAAACTGTCCACAGCTCGGTGACTTTCCTGCTCATATGTCACCTGCCAACATTCAAAGGATGTGCCCATTTGTCTCTGGGAATAACCTAGGCACTTCTGGCCAGAATCTCCACAAGTTTCGCAGTCCCTGCTTCATAATTAGCTCAGCCTCAGCTTCCA